CAAAAAAAGTTATACATTCAGATAGCTCTCCTAATTACGATTCCAGCCATGTATAATATGTATTGAGTTATTGAAATTTAGTTTTCGATATAATCTCCATACTGGAAGTATTCAAAAAATGAAGAAAAAAGGTTAAAAAAAATAGCGCTCTTATGAAAAACTTGATTTCTCCATCAGATGTTAGCGGATCAAAAGAACTAAAGTATCGCTGGATAGCCCCATTAATGGGCTATCATATGACATCTGAATGATACGATTTAGATTGCTAGAAAATAAATTATGGTACGCCGAAAATCTAGTATTTTCTGTTTGGGAGCATTTTGAGACGCCATTTTCTCGAAAACAAAAACTATGATTTTTCTTAAACTTTTTTTACTAAGAGTCCTATCGGTGGACTATAGCGTGAGTCCAAAAATAAAAACATTGAAATAATATAAGTGGTCAAAAAAGAGCCTCAATCTTGGAAAAAAGATGAAAAATCCTTAAATTACTGAAAATGCTCTTCTATTTTTCTTTGACAGCTGAATGGATTTTTCTGAAACTTCTTGTACAGAAGTTTAGGTAACTAAACAACTTGTTAAAACTATCCCGACAATGATCCAAACACCGGAAGTAGTCGAAAAAATATCCGATATTTTGAGAAAAAACCCCATAAAAAGTAAAAAAAATGGTGATCTTGCGAAAAAAGTGATTACTACGTAAGATTTCATCGAATCAAAACAACTAAAGTGTCATTGAATAGCCCGAACAATGGACGATCGTATGACATCTAAAAGGTAAAAATTCGCTGGTTAGGCAATATATAATGGGACGCTGAAAATCTAGTATTTTCATTTTGGGGGGCTATTCAGATGCTTTCATCCCGTAAACTTCTCTTTTTTCCTTTCTTAAACTTCTGTTACTTAGAGTCCTAACGGTGGTCTAGGATGTGAATCCAATATTTAAAAACCTCAGAATAGTATAAATGGTCCAAAAAGGGTCACAATCTTTGAAAAAAGTCGAAAAATCGTTATATCTTCTTATGGTATAAGGGAGATAACACATTGGTATCAGACTACCAGTTATTTGTTAAATATCGTTAAATATCTTCTAATTTTCCTTTCTTTTAAAAACTGTCAAATGGATCTTTCTGAAACTTCTGGTACATGAAGTTAAGTTCCCATACAACGCTTTTAATCTATCCCGACAATGATCCGTAAACCGGAAGTAGTTGAAAAAATATTCGATATTTAAAAAAAAAACAGTAAAAATCGGTGCTCTTGCAAAAATCGTGATTTCACCGTCGGGTGTGACCGCATCAAAACATCTAATTTATCGTTTGGTAGCAAGATGAATGGGCTATTGTATGATACACTTCCTGTCTGATTCTTGAAAGCCGGTTCAGTGCTGCTTGCAGGTCTAGTTCTTATTATTATTATTTAACGCGGGAGCCTATTTCTCCATGATCGAAAACAGATATCGATCTGGGGTTCAATTTTCTATCGGGAAACCATGTGGTGGCTACTTAATAAAGTTTTTTTGAAACTTCTGCGCAGACCGAAAGTGGCCGAATTTCGTGCGGTGCATAAAAATTAAAAAACGGCCGTAGCTTCGTCAATTCTGTACCTATTTTCATACAAATGACATTTTCAGAAACCCTGTGTCTTTTGTCGGACGATAGCAGTTGAAAATCTCGAAATTTCGAAACTTCGCCGCTGACTTCTAGCGTTCGAAAAATGAAAAATGTTGTTTAAGAGACAATTTTTGTTATTTTTCAAAATTTTCAAATTTGACCTACATTTTGGGGTACTTGAAGGCAATCCGATTCCAGTAAAATAACTTTCATTCAGAGTTATAGTCCAAATCCAACTGATAAAGCTATTTCGACAAGGATCCTTAAACCAGAAGTGGTCGAAAAATTGTCCGATATTTTGAAGAAAAAGCAAAAAATGGGTGCTTTTAGGAAAAACGTGATTTCTCCACCCGATATCAACGGATTAAAGAAATTAAGGTATCTTAAAGTGACTATCATATGATACCAATTTCACACGAATCCTATGAGAGGGCAGCAAAATATGACATGCTGAAAATCAAGTATTTTCTGATTTGGAGAGTTTTAGACGCCTATATCTCGAAAACTGAAAGAGATTTTTCTTAAACTTTCCCTATCGAGAGTCCCCCCGGTAGTCGTATGCATGAATCCATCCAATAAGACTTTGAAGTGTCTGGAATAGTTAAAATAACGGACTGAAAATCGAAAAAAGTTGAAAAATCGTCAAATTTTAGAAAATGCCCTATTATTTCTTTATTTTAACAGCTTTTCAAAAAAAGTTATACATTCATATAGCTGTCCTAATTATGATTCTAACAATGTATAATATGTATTGAGTTATTGAAATTTAATTTCCGATATTTTGAAATTTTGATATTTTTTACACTTTTGAACATAGGATTTCCCAGGGGCATTTTATCTGATCAGACAATGTAATATTTCATTACATAGCCCTGTGGCTATTTGATAAGCCAATCCGGTTATTAAAACTATCGTTTGGAAGAACGATAAATGGGCTATTGTATGACACACTTCCTGTCTGATTCCTGAAAGCCGGTTCAGTGCTGCTTGCAGGTCTAGTTATTGTTATTTAATTTTTTCCGCGGGAGCCTATTTCTCCATGATCGCAAACAGATATTGATCTGGAACCAAGTTTTCTATCGGGAAACCATGTGGTGGCTACTGGATAAACTATTTTTCAAACTTCTGCGCATACCGGAAGTGACCATGTGGTGGCTACTTGATAAAACAATTTTGGAACTTCTGTGCATACCGGAAGTAGCCGAATTTTGTACTTTTTTTCGGAATTGAAAATCGGGCGTGGTTTCGTCAATTCTTTACCTATTTTCAAACAAATGACATTTTCGGAAACCCTGAATCTTTTCCGAGATAATGGCTATCTCATATTTTTCAATTTCGAACATTCGTCTATGACTTTTATCGTTCGAAAATTGAAAACACGTTGTTTTCGGGACAATTTTTGTTATTTTTCCAAATTTTCGAATTTGACCTACATTTTTGGATAGCTGAAGTCCTTCCGATTCCAGTAATATAAGTTTCATTCCGAGTTATCGCCCTTTATTTTTCGATTTTTTTCGAATTTTCTGCCCATTTTCCAACCCTTATATTTTTTTGAAAGCATCAATCGATCTTTCTGAAACTCCAGGATCGTGAAGCCATATTGTCAGACCGTGGATAAAGCAATTTCAACAACAATCCGTAAACCGGAAGTAGTCATAATAATGCTCAATATTTTGAAAAACCCCCGCAAAAATGGGTTCTTTTGGGAAAAACGGGATTTCTCCGTCCAATTTCAACGGATTAAACAAATTAATGTATCGTTGGGTGGCACGATGATTGGACTGTCGTATGATACCAAATTTATAAGGATACTATGACCAGGCAGCAAACTATGACACACTGAAAATCAAGTATTTTCTGATTTGGAGCGTTTTTGGACGACTTTATTTCGAAAACTGCTCCAACGATTTTTCTTAAACTTTCTCTATCGTGGGTCCTTTCGGTAGTTTTTTGCATGAAACCATCCAATAAGAATTTGAAACGTCTGGAATAGGATAAAAAAAAAGGGACTGAAAATTGAAAAAGTCGAAAAATCGTGAAATTTTGGAAAATGCTCTGTTATTTGTTTATTTTAACAGATTTTTAAAAAAAGGTTATAAATTGAAGAAAACTGACCTAATAGCGATTCTAACCATATATAATATTGAAATTTAATTTTCGATATTTTGACATTTTTGCATTTTAGGGACTTCTGAACATAGGATTTCTCAGGGGGATTTTATCTGATCGGTTAATTTAGTATATCATTATATAGCCCTGTGGCCATTCAAGTTTCGAAACCGGATGTTAAAAGTACCCGACAATGATTCGTATACCGGAAGTAGTATAAAAAACGAAAAAAAGTGAAAAAATTTTTTTTAAAAAATGGCGCTCTTGTTAAAAACTCGAATTCTCCGTCAGATATTAGCGGACCAAAACGATTTTTCTTAAACTTTTCTTAATCAGAGTCCTATCGGTGGTCTAGGGTGTGAATCCAAAAATAAAAGCATTGAAATAATATAGGTGGTCCAAAAATGGCCCCAGTCTTTGAAAAAAGTTGAAAAATAGTGAAATTATTGAAAATGCTCTTTTATTTATCTTTTTTTCGAAAACTACTCAATGGATGTCTCCGACACTTCTGGCACAGGTAGTTAAGTATCTATACAACTTGTTAAAGCTATCCCGACAATGATCCAAAAAACTGAGAAATAGGGTATTAAGATTTGCCAGATCATTAGAAACTTCAATATTATCATCACACACATTTCCTACCGTCGTCTTCATATCGGACAATTCTGTACACATACTTTGTTCTGACGATTCACAATTATGAACCTTGTTTAGTAACGCCTCGTTCTCCGACTTGAGGTTGCTAATGATTTCGTTAGATTGTCGAAGTTCATTAGACAACTGCTCAACTTGTTGTTTAAGTACCCAGTTATCGTTTTTAACTGCATTGATAGATAAGTTAAAATCACCCATATCTTTAACCAACTCACATCGTAGATTGATTAAGGTTCTTTCCAACCTGATCAGATTTTCTTTCAAGTCGCGGCGCGGCTGTCGCTATAATCTGATGAGTTTTGTGAGCTGTTAACACTTTCGTTTAACAGTGTTAACGCTTTTTGTTTGTTTGGCTTACTTCACATACTTAATAACTGGTGTCGATACAGTGATCAGCACTCCCCCAACATATCATGATTTGCCGGAAAAATATATTATTCATTAATAACTCTTTATGATGAGTGGTTTATACCGGTGAATAATCGATTATACCGCCTATAACCATTCCATTTCAGATGATTGCTTTGAACGATCGATGGTATCAATATTTATTGTGAAGTTGCCTATAGCAACTCCACTAGCCTCTATGTCTATAATCGATGCCGTCTTTTTAAAGCTTGTTGACGTCTAGTGGGCTATCTTTATCATTAAAAAAAATCGAAACATACGTTTGGTTATATTAGTTCTCTATGAAAGGCCATGTGCTCATATTTAATGGTAAATGTGGAGCATTTCATGTTCAGATTATGAAAAATCTCAGAAACGACGATAGTGTCAAAAATCAGGTAAAGATTTACTAACTATTTATATATAATCTCGTATGGTCACACGGGAGGTAATTTTTAGATACGATGAAGATTGAATACTAAAAGTACGTGAATTCAAATGTTAGCAACATTCTGTTTTATTCTGTTTAACCGTGGACTTTCAAATAGTCACCTGTGACAAATTGAGTTTCTGACCGCTGCATGTGTATTTTCTGTAGCTTTATATATAGACTTGTTTGATTAGTCCCGTGGAGAACTAGTGACTGTACCATAGAGAAACTCTCGCGGATGCAGGATTGGCACAGCTTATCAACATGCGTTTCAAGTGACAAACATGGATCTTGATCAGTGATTCTCAACCAGTGTGCCGCGGCACACAGGTGTGCCACGAGATCTTCCTAAGTGTGCCACGAAAATTTGAACGGCACACTAAGAAAATTTCTCAATAAAGAAGCCAGCTATTTGACTGATGAAATTCGAAACATTGCAATGAATTAGGTTCATAGAGCAGCTGTATATTTCTTTATTTAGTTTGAGTCTTACTATGTGTCTATGACCAATCTGTCGTCTATGACTTGCCATGTTTTTATTTTTCAAAATGTTCATATATATTTAGCCAGGTGTACCGCTGTTATTTCATGACAGTGTTCCAAGGTGTGCCGTTGGCAAAAAAGGTTGAGAACCACTGATCTAGATAAAGATGAGGATCCTTTACAGCAGTAGCCAATTTTGACATTGAGATATATTCTAAAGGCGTTTATTTGTTCCAAATAAGACAGCTTTAGTTTTGTCATCATTAAATTTGGGTTTATTTGAGGTCACCCAATTCTTAAAGACTAGATGCGTCATATAGCGCTATAGGAATCCCTTGCAAAATACAATATTGTGAAAGTTTAATCTCTAATAGGAATATCAGTCCAAAATGATTCAATTCCATTAAGTATTTACAAAGTAATGATAAATTGTATTTATCATCTTTTATTGGTAGCGGAGAAACCTAATGGGCCTAGTTTAAATCCGATTGAATCCAGGCTGAGAGTTGGCAAATCTATTTTGATTTTGTTTTCTCAATTAAATCTATATAAATAAAGTCAAAGATGGGTGTATGTTCGCCAATCACGCTTCGTCGCCGGGGTCCAACCCCACATAATAATGTGGTATCAATGAATGGTTTAGGCCATCGAATTTGGGTCCCAGGCGAATTGGGCCTGGGCCCCGGGCGAATCACACTTTTACGCCCACATAATGTGGTATCAAATTAACTAGCATGATCCCGTGAATGTTTTAGGCCATCGAATTTAGGCCCCGGGCGATTTTGGGCCCCTGGCAAATTTGGGGCCCCTGACGAATTTGGGTCCAGGGCGAATTGGGCTCCGGGCGAATTTGGGTCCTTGGGCGAATTTGGACCCAGAGCGAATTTGGGCCCTGGGCGAATTTGAGCCCCGGGTATCCTGCAAGTGCTAAATAATCAACCGTGAACATTCAGCCACACAACTAGGAAACCTGGTATAGCAAAAACAGCATTAAACCGAAAACCGAACCATGAGGCACATCGAAATTAAGCCTAACAGGATTTGATTCAACATTATTTATTAATACCATCTTTTGACGATCTTATGACAAAAAAAAACAGGTATGTGCAGTTCCAGTAATACTCAGTCGATCAGCACGGATCTGGTGATCGACGCCGTCGAATGCAGCGAGATTGTCTAATAGATTGAGTACTGATACATCACCACCAACTACTGAACATTGTAGGTCGCTAAAGCTCTTAGAGCGGTTGTTTCTGTACTGTGTCCAGAATGACAAGCTGACTGAAAATTGTTATGTATGCACGTAATCTGATTGAGTACTGATACATCACCACCAACTACTGAACGTTGTAGGTCGTTAAAGCTCTTAGAGCGGTTGTTTCTGTACTGTGTCCAGAATGACAAGCCGACTGAAAATTGTTATGTATGCACGTAATCTGATGTGTACAGCTTTTTCCTAAAAGTTTTGAGGGGAACGAAAGGTTTGAAACAGGACGAAAGTTTTTTTAATACATTTAGATCAAGATCAAGTGAACCCTGTAATTTACTATGACGGGCAGAAGACTATCCACGCAGCCACACACAATGGTAGGCGGAATAGGATCCAATAGACCTGTTTTAATCGTCGGTAAATGGTTGATGTTCAACCAATGGTTCCTATCCTGGTTCTTCTTTAAAACAGACGTCTTATTTTTGCAATCGTAGAGATAAAGAAATTTGAAAAGCTATTTCCTATCTGAAAATCATTGGTTGAATCAGGAAGTTGTCAATGAAAGAAATTTTGTCCACAATATTATGATAACGGGCTTTAGCATTCCTTGAGCTTTTTGTTGAACCTACGTAATCTAAACTTTGTTATGAAAGAGGGGTATTTTAACAAGTAAATCTAATGAATTATTTTGCAGATATGGCGAATACTTATTCCCTCGACCAAACAGACAATGAAAATAAACTTAGACATTATTTTCAGAATGATTTTGAAAATGTGAGTAGACAAAGGTTGCGATCAATTCACATGAGTCTTAGGCGCTATGGAAATGTAGAATCAAGAATAAACCTCAAAGATTTACAACATGCATTTGAGGTAAGCTCGACTATCATTCATTCATTTGCCCGTACGTTCGTTTAATCATTTTTGTACTAAAACATACATATTTTGTCGGAGCAAATAGAAGGAAAGAATACACGCTGTAGTGATACTCAAAAGGTTCATATGCGTTCCGAGAACGAGAACGAGGTGAAGTCGTTGTCGAAATCGGAAGACGTGACGCACTTTCACGGTTCAGAAAAATCCGCATACTTGACAAAACGTGATGGTCTGTTCATCGTGATAACCCAGGCCGAAAGGTGAACAAACAATTGAGGATAGGCCAGGCTAAGTTGTAGTTATACCGTATCAGTGTATGAAGTCATCAAAATAAAATTTAGTGGCCATAAACGAAATAAGTACACCATAAAACACATTTTCTGAAAATTGAATAGAGCAAAAAGTGCACTGTTTGAAAGTGTCGATTCGTCTTATCATTTCTCTTTTATACGACCAGTTAAACAGTGCCTAACAAAGGATGGTATATTTGAAAGGGATGTGTTTCGGTAAGATTGTCTAAAACAGAATTAAACCACCACGGAATTCACATACGGCTTCAAAGGGTCCAAGACGTTTTCACGAGCGAGTTCGTTTGCCATCGTGGGGGAAGCCCTCGAGAACTGATAATGTAGCGGGCGAAAAGGGAATTAACTCGTTCTCGTTCTCGATCTGGGAGTGCATCTGAACCTCTCTAATAAGAAAATTTGTCTAATCTCATTTTCATAAAAAAAACTGCTGTAGATTAGACTTTATAAACCAGGACCTGGGCATCAAGTGCTACACATCTTCTTGTTCTTCTTGATTTTTTTTTGGGGGGGGGGGCAGCGCTCCTCGGAAAAGGCTACGTCAATTCAACTGCATGCTTGTTCCTTGGACAATTGCGCATCGATTGACTGACTTTGTTCTTTCTTACATGACGTCAGAATTTCAAGAAAGCGGCGATGTGATTCTGCTGGGTCCATAGTCCATATAGTGCTAGCACACTCGTTTCTTCGTTTTTTGTTACAGGAGAACCAAGTTGCTTTAACTCAACGGCATTATCAAATGATAACTGATACATGCGAAGATCATTTTGGTATTGATTTTGAAAAGCTTTACAAATTATTAATTCAGGCACAAGAAGACAGAAGTAAGTTCATAGACTCTATCGTTATGGTTCGTTTATACGTCGGCTGCCGAACCGGTTTCTTCGGTTTCCGACAACTGCGATCCAGGCGCTTAAGCAAATAAATAACAAGTAAAGTTACCCCTAACGGTTGGCATTCGACAGAGTGTAGGCTGAAACGCCGATGTCCGTGCAAACGTGCATAAATAAATTACTAAATCGTACCTTCTAACAGAGATTCGTTCGTATACTTTACGTTATTTCCAACATACTGATATGTTATTTGAAGTGCGACCACTTTCAAATGGCAATTTCTAAATTTCACTGGTCGAAACCACTTGCCTTCTGTAAACTTTGCCTGTTTAAGTAATAATTTCGCAAGGTAAAACTAATATAGCTAAAACTGTAGTTAAAACACATACATCAAAATTTAGTCACATTCATGGGTCTAGGATAGGCTAAATCTATCGTTTCAACAATGACTGATACCACTTCTTGTTTATACGGAAAATTTACACACGATTATTTTTCCATTCCTAATTTTGTATTTGATATATTATATGAAATATTTCAGATCAAATGCTTGCGCCTAAAAATGATCAACGTATTGTTTTAACCCGAGAACAAAGAGATCAGGATTTATTGTATCGTCTAGAAGAACAGCTGGTTAAAAGACAGGTTTTTTTCGACATTGATGCGATTAGACAGGCATTTCAAAATAAAGATACAAACAGGATTGGAAAAGTACAAAAAGATCAGGTATGGTTATTTTTATAAATAATTGTAAATCGAATCTGTCTTGACAAATTTCTCAGACACATTTTCAACATCGTGGATGAACAGATCAGCCGTACACAGATCTCCTGATTAAACGAGAGTAGACATTTCTTCTTTGGCAACACGATTAAATAAATAAATTGAATAAGATGAGGACGTGTTTTATCGTGAAGAATTCTAGAGGTGTATTGTTCATTTCAACAGGTCCTACTCCCATGTATGGTGGGTCACCCTACGAAACAGACCTGGGAAGTGTTGCTAGGTCAAATGGGAGGAAAACCTGTGATTCCATGCACACTTTAGTAACCAATGTAAAAAGTAGGAAATAAAAATCACCAAACTATTTTAATGAAATACGGATACACGATTAATATACCAACTATGAAATACAAATAATGATTTAAATAAAAGTAAAGTTAAAAAATATTGTGACTGAATTTATAAATGCATGTCATTTTTTTTATGCTTTACAGGCACAGTTAATATTTGCGCATTTAAAAACACCCTTATATGGAGCGCTGTTGACGAATTTACTAAATCGGTGTCACGCTGAAAATGATGGTGGAATCAGGTAGGTGGATGTTCTTCCTTACAACCAAAAAGTATATTATATTACGTATATTCCCAGTTTCACCTAGTACACACCAGATGTCAATGTCGCATCTTTATAAATCCAAACTGATGACATTTCACTTTTTCCTAAACAGGTAGAGCACACGGGATATACTTTTCGCTTGTTGAAGTAATGAGCAGTTTTCCGAAACAGCGATGCTGTTAAAATCACACCTGTGAGTCAGATCAAATGCTATTTTAGCTTGCCCTGATTGGATCAAACAAAACAAATTGCCCCGCCAGAAATTGTTTACTGCAGCATTCACATCAGTTGATTGAAGAATGACAAGCAATTCCTTGTCTATGAATATCCGCTCGCCAGATTTTTTTCTATCAATCAATGGGAAATTACAAATCACTTACAAATTGCCTAAGAAAATCGCCCGTGTGCGCCAGGTTTAGCTAACTTTATTTCCCAGCTTTTTATATTAGGTCAAATTTTGTGGAGTTTTGTATTTTATAGATTTGGAAGTTGATAGAATGACCATCCTAATATTTCTGAAAACGTTTTGTTGTGTCTTTGTTGTAGCTGGCCAGAATTTATAAATTTTTTGGAAAGGTCACAACAAAGGGCTTGGGAAAAGCATCCCGCCATGTCCGAACTACCTAAACAAGTGCAGGATGAAGAAATGGTTAATCCCGATGTTATAGATGAATTATCATCCAGTGCTAAAGCAAAGGTTGTCTCTAAATTATTGAAAAAGGTAATATAATTAGCACGAATCTCCAAAGGCAACGGTATTATACTATTTATAAATATTTACAGTACTTACAATAATAACGGTTAAGTTTTTCTGCCATCAGATTTATGTTAAGAGTACCCAAATAGTTAGAGTTAAAATGGTACACCCTCATTGATTGGAGTCAAAAATAAAACTGAATTGATCTGTTGATTTTTTGCGATTGATGACCGTCTACCTTCATTCAAATTTTACGGCCGCCGATAAAGCGACTGTTGGGATAGAATCTAATTTGTGCTTAACTGTCGACATCCTAATCCAAACTGAGAATCTGAAATTCATAAACAAAGCAGCTTCCGCTCAATCGTTCGACGCGAAAATTTAGCTGTATAAGGACTGTCCTATCAATAATCGAAATACCACTTAACTGTATCCAAGGTAAAATGAGTTTGAGAATTTTCCCTGTTTGATTCATTCAGATTACAAATAGGCGACGAATATAGGTGACACTGGCTTGTTTTGACCACATCCTGTTTATATAGTCTGCAGAGGAAGCTGAATATTCACACTTTTTCAATTACCAATATGAATATTGCGGTTCGCGAGGAATTGGAAATGCACCAAATGACGATCAGAAACTGTAAAGAGATTTACGTTAAGATTGTGCACTGATGCACCTGAGATTTAATTTTAAAAAACCTTCCAATGAAGTAGTATAATCACAAGTTGAAATTTTATTTTATTAAGAATTATTTAAATATTTTCTCTGATTTGTTTTAAGACAAAAAAGGATCAATACAATACATAGCCCGGAAGAAATGGCCAAGAGAATTATTAGCTAATTAACCACAGTGCCCCAATTGATGGGGATTATGGGCGGTTGTTTTCATTGAACTGCGAGCTTGACTTTTTTATTTATTTCTTGATTTTTTTTAAGGCGTCGATGCAAAGAGAAAGATCGGCTTTAGCAAAACCTAAAACTACCGAGGAAAAGGAAGAAGTCAACGTGATTCCTAGAAGTTCAAATAAAGTCATGGAAAAAGAACAACTAAATGATAATTTAGCAAATAGTAAGTAAAATATATTATTCAAAGTAAAACAAACCCAAACAATAAGATTAAAGCATTATAAACTATCACACATTCCATTAATCATCTATAAACAAACAATTTGTACAACTTGATTCTGTGTAAGGAATGTGTTATAAAGTTTTATACATTTTTTCTATTATTACAGTTAATAAAACTATCACACCTCGACCACATGTGGCAGATCAAACCTGTCAAAGACAGGAAGATATTATTGAACAAAATGAAGGTCAGTAAACAATATGCTCGTGTGTGGTGTGTGGGTGGGTGTGTGTGTGGGTGGGCGTGTGTGTGTGTTGGGGGGAGGCGCGATTATTAGTAGTGAAAGTATTATAAAATCAAATATATTAAACTTCTTATCCTACACCCTATCTACTACCCACGAGTGTTACATTTTCTGTAGAATTTGTATAAATGATTATCTCGTTCTGTGGCATGAATGGCATACTCATAACCCTTACCATACTGCCCACTGGTACAGTGGCTATGCTAATCCCAGCTATATATCTTTTTTCTAAAACGAGTTTTTCACAGTTTGATATATACTCTTCAAAAAAAGTAGGGGATATTGAAATGCAAATACCTATGCAGGTTGTGATATGATAAATAGTCATGGACACTTGACATGCTTTGAGAGTATGTTCACAGATGAAGAACTTGTCTCCCCAACAGAACCACTGAGCTGCACATGCGACACGCAATAGCGCCATACACGTGGGAGGGGTTCATTGTCAAATTTGACACTTCAAGGAAGGGTTGATGAAAACTGCCGCGTGCTGGTTTATCTATCTATGTTTGCTTTCCTATCGGTTCTTGCATAAGATCTATTGTTTAGCGTATCTTTGCTTTAGTGTGTTACGTTTAATTTGATCGGGAAACGTGTTCGTCGACGTCAACGTCAACCGACAACACTGCAAGAATTGGCCGTGGCACTGCAAGAGAAGTGGGTCAGATTGCCCCAAATCGTGATTGGATGGTTGATTAGGAGCATGCAACGACAAATAGCTGAATGTCTGAGGATGGGTGGAGCAGTTACTCATTATTAAGACAAAAATCAAAAACGTTCATTTTCACTTGACGGTGTATCTCTTTGCGAGTGAAATGGGGCCGTCAGATAAGCCGCCCATATGAACTGTTTCTGTTCATGTGTAAGCAATTGGCCTGTTATTAAACTACACTGGTTACCTCTAATAAAAACAGCAGTGCATTTCCGCAGTTTTGTATTGTTTCTGAATATCCCCTTCTTTTTTTGAAGAGTATATTATTGGGTAAAATGGGTTATTTTTACAGAAAGTGGCTTGACAAATCAGGAACACCAAGAAAATTATGTGAAATCTACAGACCAAACTAAAGTAACTCTTCAGATAAAGGGCAAATTAGTGAAAGTTATGAAACCTTGTGGTTATGACTTTCAGAATGTTCCAATTGACCCACCAACAGAACGCCTTCATCTAGAATGGGTGTAAGTATTATTCTATACAGATTGTTCTTCTTTGAGTCAAATTTCACAAATTGGTGATTTGTATTTTTATACGCTCACATTTTCATGGTTGATGGTTGAGTTCGAATTTCGTGAAAATCGGACCAAAACTGTCGGACAAAATGGCCGCCCCTTGTACGCCAATAGTGTAAATATCTGGTATATCAAGGTTTTGGACCGCCTAGAGGTCACAATTTTGATCCAATTTTGATGACACTCGTAATGCATGTTTATAACCAAAAGATCTTGGTTCCTTTCGATATTCGCGCACATCGAATCGTAACGTCCTGAATTATGACCCTTGATTTTACGAAAAATCGCGTTTTGAGCTTTTGGTACCCATAGTGGTCACAATTTTTATCCGTGAAAATCGAACTAAAACTGACGGACATAATGGCCGCCCCTTGTACACATATAGTGTAAAAATATGGTATATCAAGGTTGTGGACCCTCTAGAGGCCACAGTTTTTTCCGATTTGGATGAAATTTTAAGTATATGTTTTTATCATAAAGATCTTGGTTCCTTTTGATAATCACACATATTCAAACGTAACTTCCTGGATTATGGCCCATGATTGGTCGAAAAATCGCAATTTTAGCTTGTGGATTCTCTAGAGGTCACAATTTTTTTCCGATTTTAAAAAACGTTTAGATATATCACCATTCCACCATAATGAAGATTGAATTCGAATTTCGGTAAAATCAAAATGAAACTGCCCGAAAAAATCGCCGCTCTTTGTACGCAAATTGTGTATAAGTATGTAATACAAAGGTTATGGGCCCTCTAGAGGTCACAATTTTTATCCGATTTTGATGAAACTTAAAACATATCTTTATATTCCAAAAAACCTCAGTCCCTTTTGATATTTGAGCATTTCAGACCATAACTTTCTGTTTTTAGCTTGTTGTCTATCCATCTCTTGCAAAATGTTCGCGTATCCTGCCTGGCAGCCGCTGGTATTTTATTCTTTGAGATCAAGTGGACCGTTATATATGCTGAAGGCTTTAGTATGTTGTGTATCCGGTTTAGATATATCACCATTCCACCATAATGAAGATTGAATTCGAATTTCGGTAAAATCAAAATGAAACTGCCCGAAAAAATCGCCGCTCTTTGTACGCAAATTGTGTATAAGAATGTAATACAAAGGTTATGGGCCCTCTAGAGGTCACAATTTTTATCCGATTTTGATGAAACTTAAAACATATCTTTATATTCCAAAAATCTCAGTCCCTTTTGATATTTGCGCATTTCAGACCATAACTTTCTGTTTTTAGCTTGTTGTCTATCCATCTCTTGCAAAATGTTCGCGTATTCTGTCTGGCAGCCGCTGGTATTTTATTCTTTGAGATCAAGTGGACCGTTATATATGCTGAAGGCTTTAGTATGTTGTGTATCCGGTTTATATTTGACGTCATGTTTGATACCTCCTATCCAGTGGGATCTTGATTGCCGCCACATTCGAGTACTTACAATAGAAGCGGGAAATGAAATGAAATTAAAGTACTAATTATATGTACGTAACGCTGTCAACAGTAGTTATAAACAGCCATTTGAATTGAACTTCAATGGCAGTAACTTATCAGAGCGATTGCACAGGTGGAAGGCAAACAATTCAGTTATATCTCGACATGGCGATGTACGGTGGTTCAGAAAAAGATCAGTGCAACTCTTTTCTTTACATTATTGGTCAAGATGGAAGTGAAATCAACGAAACTTTTAAGTTCCAACATTTTGTATATAGCATCATATCACGTTTACCGGTTACAGTCGTCAAACTAGCCGAAATGTGTGAAGCTACGAAGAAGGAATTGCATTATCTACAAAACGTTGTGGGGGTGGTTGGGGTGTGGGGATAGTAAATAACAATTACCTGCTAATATTAATATTAGTGAATACTGGCAGTACAGAGCTAAATTTTCTGTATCAGAAAAACTTGGCAGTCTTGGCAGAAAAAGCGGTACAGACAGCAAAACATTTGTTAACTAAAAGCAAATCCGACGGAATAGATCCTTATTTGGGTATGTTAGAATATCGCAATACACCAATTGATGACATCGCTTCTTAGTCTGGTCGCCAAACCCAATATTTCGGGTGAACCTGTGTTTTTTTATGATTGATATTAGTAGCTTATGGTGTCGTCTTTCACAATCTGCCGGGTGAGCCTCGGTCACCCTTGAGCGTTTTGAGAAATTCAAGATGGCGTCCAAGACGACCACCAATTCAAATAGTCCATTATAACTCCCATAGTATTTATTCTAGGATGATAATTTTGGTCAATTATGTTCTTGTGGTCAAGGAATACACTGAAATCATTTATTATGTTGTGGGGTGATTAGATGATAGTAAAATCTAAAATACCAGACAATATGGCCCTTTAACTCGTAAGCGGCGGTTGAGGACCATTATTTCACCTAACCAAACTATATCTAGAAACAAACTATGTATTTCTAAATAAAGGCCAATATAAGTGATACGATAACACCACATACATGCCTGCCAGGGACTCCTGGAACACATACGCCGGTCCTGATAAAACACCCGCAAAACACGAAAATAACCCCCACAATACTAGGCAATATTCAGTTTAATTCTTTGGTCGTTTTTTTTGGCTGCAACCTACGACAGCACAAGAGCAAATGCTATACATTCTAAGCCATCCCTAGTGCATCTACAAGCAAGCGTACTGCATGGGGTGTCACTCTTGCATCCGCATCTGATGAGCCACATGACAGTCCCCGGAGCAAGTTGGTCGGTTGTAATATTCTCAATTTAGTATCCTTCACCCAACAATACAGTTCCGGATCAAGTTCTAACGGATTACCATCTTCCAGTGAACACCACACAATAGCTCGGCGATACGCTCTTTGTACGTTTTTTTTTCTTGTTTTAAACAAGAATTTTATTCATTAAATCTTAATTTGGATTGGGGAACAGGCTGTGCCTATGTGTACCCCTCCCCTCTCTCTGATTTAGATACATGTACACATAAATATATATATATACATACACACATAATTACATAGATATATAGCATATACAATACATAATGAATAATATAGAGACTTTAGATGTTTCTACAGTGTTCAGGGCTTGAAATAACTTAAGAGTTGTTTTATGGAGATTTAAATCTTTTTGATAAGATAATAAATTGTTGAACTTCTTGGAAAATAAGTGTGTTTATCTCAGGATTAAATTTTGTTGACCCATACAACAGACAAATGATTGTTTTATGATTATGTTGAAGGTTATGGATTGTCTGTTTTCTTGCATCTGAATATAAGTGGCATACGAGTAAATAGTTTGGTATCTTCAAATTTGTGACGGCAGAGGCAAGCAGGGCTATCGTCGACGTGCCTGAGGAATTTATGGCCTTGTAGATTTGAGTAGCATAATTTTAGTTTACAGTGGATTATTTGTAATTTTCTTTTCCCTAGATAGTAATATGATGGCACGATGGTATCTAATTTGTTTAGTGAATTTCCAAAGATAGCAAGGGATCAAGAGTTTCCTTTAGTTTATCTTTGTTTCTAAGAGTATAATTGATAGGAGTAGATGAAAGTTCTAATAGGTCAGAGAGATATTATGGTGCTAGGTTGTTAACAATTTTATACATTAATTATAATTTATGACGTCGACGTCTTTCCAAGAGTGGAACAAACCCAGTCTCTTTATAGAGTAAGACATGACTGGTACCTCTAACCGTCCACAGATAGTGCGTACTGCATCTAATTGTAGGGATTCTAGTTTGTTAGCTAAATAATCACTCCACCCATCCCACATAATATCGGCATAATCAAAGTATGAAGGATAAAAGAACAGTATATTGTATTTAATGGTTTTCAATTCAATGATATTTTATAGAGCGAAGGCAATTTACTAGTTTGGATACTTTGCTTACAATGCTATCTATATGATTACTCCATTTACAGTTAGTTTGAAAGAGTAGACATATATGTTTATGTTCACTTACTTCTTTGATTTGTACCTGGTTCATAAATAATCAGTGTCTCTGTTTTAAGGGGGTTAAAAGTTACCAGCCATGGCTCAGCTCAATTTCTAATTCGATTTAAGTCATCGTTGATGGTAGCAGCACTTGCCTCTGGGTCTTCAATTTTTAATTATAAAGAGGTTACGTCAGCAAATAATCTGATGTTTGAATTTATATTGTTCGCAATGTCATTTATGTAAATTAAGAATAAAAGAGGGCCTAGTACTGATCCCCGTGGAACACCAACAGGGGTGCTTCTGGGGTCCGAGGAGGTGTCATTGATGGTTACACATTGTTGTCTATTTTTCATATAATCTACGATACAGAGAAGTAGTTCTCCTCGAACCCCCGCAGCATCCAGCTTGTGACAGAGCCCGGTATGCCAAACCCTGTCAAAGGCCTTGCTGATGTCACAGAAGACTATTCTAGTATATTGACGTTGGTCAATGGCTCGACAGAAGAAGTGTGTTAGGTCGATTAGTTGGAATATGGTAGAATCACCAGGAAGAAAGTCACTCTGGACAGGTGTTAGTATGGAGTTATCTCTAAGGAAGTTAAAGGCATGTTTGCGGATGATTTTTTTCAAAAATTTTGACTATTATACTTAAGAGGGAGATTGGTCTAAAATTACTACAATCCCTTGGCGAGCCCTTTTGAATAGAGCGAATACGTTTGCAAATTTCCAAATTTCCAAATTTTTGGTACAATGTGTAGGTCTAATGATAGTTTAAAAAGTTGGCAAAGTGGATGACTGATTTCTTGTCAGGTGTATTTTAGAATTCGCGTATTAATTTCGTCGGGTCCTGAGGCTTTTGTGGTAACATGGCTGTCTATTATGTTTTTAACGTCCTCTAGGTTTGGTACAATCTTATAGATGCTGTTAGGGTTCATAACAAGAAGTGGTAGAGATTTATTAGTGTCATCTAGTTGTCATCTAGTTGAGTTTTCGGATTGAGAAAACAAAGTGTTACCGTTGACTGTTAATGGCGGTGGTTTTACGTTCCCTGAAAATGCATCATTCATTGAGCAAGACTACATGGTTTGGTTGGGGATGATGACGATACATTTCCAGTTTTGGATAGATGTCCATACCATCCAGCGTGTTTCAGGCATCGATTTGCTAGAACTTTGCCCATAACAAGCTGACATAAATACAGTGCCCCGTGTAAGCACGGATTCTACTACTCTGACGAGTGAGAGAGAATACAATCAAGCTCTCACCACTCCCAAAGCTGTTCATTTCCCCACGACGTAGCAGCATATAACCCTGGCATGTAAAGTAAGCTGGCAGGATTTCAATGATAATTGACATGTGTTTCTCCGTAGTTTGACCAATGTCAACGGTTGTCCTTTCTTTGATTGGCGATTCCATTGTAACGCGATTCTTGTCAGCTTGTTATGGACAGAGCTCTTGCAAATCGATGCTTGAAATACGCTGGAGGGTATAGGCATCCAAAACTGAAAATATATCGTCGTCATTACCACCTAAACCATGTAGTCTTGCTCCAACGAATGATGCATTTGCAGGGATCGTAAAAAGATGTCATCACCATGCTATTGTGTGGCGTTCACTGGAAGATCGTTATTCACCGAACTTGATCCGGGACTGTATTTCTATGTTAATGACACTAAATTGAGAACATTACAACCGGTCAACTTGCTCCTGTGACTCATCAGAAGTGGATGCAAGAGTGACACCCATAGTACGCTTGCTTGTAGCTGCATTAGGGATGGCTTAGAATGTATGGTATTTTGCGCCTGTGCTGTCACAGATTGCAACCAGACACACGACTGAAGGATTACACTGAATATTACCTAGTTTTGTGGGGGTTATTTTCGTATTTTGCGGGTAGAATTTGTTTTTTAAATGTTTAAAACACATCTTGTGCCCTCTATTTCAGGGCCGTCCCATGTGGCCCTGGACCCCTGATGTATGTATGTGGTTTTCTCGTATCCCTCATATGCTCCCATGTCCAGAAATATATAGTTTGTCTCAGATATTATAGTTTGGTTTGGTGAAAAAACCACCGCCAACCGCCGCTATCGAGTTAATGGGCCATATTGTCTGGCATTTTGGATTTTACTATCATCTAATCACCCCACAATATGATGAACGATTTCAGTGTATTCCTTGACCCCCAAAACGTACGGTTAGACACCAAAATTATCATCCTAGACAAAATACTATGTGGGTTATAGGGGATTATTTGAAATGGCGGCCGTCTTGGACGCCAACTTGAGTTTCTCAAAACACTCAAGGGTGACCCAGGTTGACCCGACAGATTCTGAAAGAGGACACCCTAGGCTACTAAAATCAATCATAAAAAAACTTTGTATACAATTGCCAGGTTCAGCCATAGTTCCGTCGGACTATCTCCGTCGCAACTGTTGATGAGTAGACGATTGAGCTCCCCCCCCCCCCCGCCCCCATGATTTTGATCGTTCTGAAGGCTATCTAACCAACTGCATTGGGTCTCGCCACAGTTACTGATCTTCACGATATCTTCCTCTGAATCAGTGATATTTTTATAAAAAAAATAGATGATATTTACACTGCTTTACAGTTACAGTGAGTCTGTTATAGTCCATTCTTCTATGTTGACATCTATTGACGTCTGGTGCGGTTGGCCCGATTTTTGCATGCTTCGATAAATTTGAGCGAAAATATGAATGGAATTTACATCAATACCGGTTGATAGTGACATGTATGACCCCTCACTGGCCTTTTTTCGATATCTTCGTCATATTACCCCTATTGATAATAAATTATCGTTCTATTTATTGTCGTATAATCATATTGTTACACATATTTATAACTGAAAAAGTTATACATGTTTATTATTGTAGATATGGATATCGTGGAAATGATTGTAGAAATAACATATATTTACTGGCTAATGGAGAAATTATATATTTTATGGCCAATATTGTTATACTGTATAACAGAGAAGCTCATAGCCAAAGACATTACATAGAACACACAGAACAAATTAAAAGGTAACACCACAACTCAAACACTTTGTCAATATAGTTAACAATTTTATTGATCTGTCGCCCGTTTAACTAAACAATTTTATAAGAATGAACTTACTCTTGCTCATTCGGAAGATAAATGTGAATAACCTCTACAAACCCGCGTGACTCTATATCACCATAGATTTAAACTATTACAAATTGAAGTTTGATCTGAAATAAAAGTATGTTCGATAATAGCACCTTTATTATAGTTATTAACGATAATTATAAATTGACATCTGTATACTTTATTTAATAATTCGTATACCGTCTCGTATAGTGGCACGCATTGTTGGACTATATAGCGGTCAGCGGTAAATTGGTCTAACATGGCCGCCGGATACTAATGAGTCTACATGGGGAATACCAACCCTAACCCTTTTAAAAAAGAACTGCGGCCATGTTGGACTCAACTTGGGTCCAATTTACCTTTTACGCTAGGTGAATTTTTGCCTGATTCACCAGTCGATTGCATCAACTTTCACGTCACATGATTAAACATAGCACTGACCAGCGGTGTGATTTTTTAAATTTTACGCCGTATACGTCGGCGTAGAAAGAGGTGGGAGAATAGGAATGGCTTGGCGAAAACCTGAATCCGTCGCCGACATACATGGTTTTTTTTAACAATCTCGATTATATGACCCTTTAAAGTCGAATGTTTTGTCTTCAAAAATCAGTGATTGGCTAAGGAATTCTACAATCGGGGTATGTCTTCGGCAAACCAGAAACACTAGGCGAATATAAACGCGGCGAATGAAAATTCCGCCGAAAATATCAAACACGTTTGATTCGAGCGAATCATTTGGTCGAATACAAATTCGGCATCCGACTCTGGACCTACTAGGCGAATTTCGGCGGCGATTGATTCGCCTAGCGTGTCTCCCGCTTAAAGACCGACGGCCAATAAACATTTTCCGTATTAATTATATTTAACACTATTGGTCTCTGAGTTTTTTCTGTACTTATTTTTTTTTTTACGATTCAAACAAGGAAACATGAATTATATACCATCTTGGTCTCGCTATTCAATAGAAATGAGTTATCATTTAGATGTTGGTAGATGATTACAGAAATTAGGGCAACGTTAAATCAATAGAAAGTGAAGAGAATTTTAGATGGTCATAGCTTTTGATGCAATAATTAGTGGTAGATTAAAATAATATTTGGACCAAAATGCGTTTTAATAAAAATAAAACACATCATTATTTTTGTCAATATTTGTTTTGTAGTCTTGAATATTGTGCCTTTAATATCGCCCAAAACTGTCTATGACAAACGTGGTGTTAAGTGTAGGGAGAGTGTATTTATTGTCGTTATTCCCATTTAATAATTCATAATTCAAAAGTGTGGATAGCTATTGCGATATATTGTTCTATTTTAGCATCGCCGTTCATTCAGATGGAATAATCATAGCCTCTGGTCAACAATCCAGTAAAACCCGACCTAACCATACGGTAGGTTAACCCCCTTAATAATCATATCTAAGTATCGCCTAGTTGTTTTGATATGCACGTAAAATAACGCTGGACAAATTCTCCGGTTGGCCGTTGGTACGTCGCTTACTGGTTCGACACTTATTATGAATAGAGTTTTAACTTGGGTCAATAAAACCATGAATAGTAGCATATGCCGGGCATTTAATTTCCCACATGGATTTGCGAATCCCTTTGAGATGTTTGATGTCCATAAATTTTTCATTTCATTGATTATAGTTAGTAGTGTGTCCAAGAGGCGAAGCCCGTTCCAATTTGTGATGGATAGCGCTGGCGGCGCTGACAAGACGAGTGTTGCCTAGCCGTTCGTGTGAGACGAAAAACCTGAAACGGCATTTTAAGGACGGGTGTATGGTGTTAACGGGGCGTTCCATTCTAACCTACATACATTCATATAGATTTAAAAAGTTAAGACAAATGGAAATTTCTGTCAGAATGAAATTATAGTATCACTCGAATTCATCTTTCTATACTTCAGGCCATCGTTCATGTTTGGAGAGCCGATGATTTACAAAATTTATTTGTCCTGGGTGAAAACTACTTCCAGAAAGCTGTTGTATGTTTAACATTTCAACATAACTGTGTAGGTATACATTAGTATTTATAATCAACTGATTCTTGGTGTCTTCACGAGTCCCACTTTTAAAGATGCATTATGTTAGAGAGAGAGAGAGAGAGCTTGGTATCCACTCGACACAAACTAGGTCATTTTGGGACCTTTTTTCAATAATTCGTGAGAGAACCCACGAGGTTGGGCAGGCGACACTACTCCTTGTCACGTACAGCCGGGGATTCGAAACCACGCCAGTTGACTCAATGACAGCCCTTATGATACAGCGCACACGTGCTAACCATTCGGCCATCCACCCCCCACTTCCCCATTATATTAGAGCTAAAAATGCTTATTACAGCTCTTTCTTTTGGTCCCAAATGTTATATGAATTATTAATTAGATATTAACATGACAAGACCATATCAACTTTTTATATGGTCGGATACTGGCGATTTTCAATGAATTGAAACACGATCGTAGTTTTGTAATTAAATTAAAATAAAGGATAATGGAGTAATCTGACTGAAATTTTCAATATATTCATTTTTCATTATCTGCTTTTAAACTATTATAGCAAGAACTTTCAGCTCTTTGTTTAAATCTTACATAATACATCTCTAAAGTGTTACATCTAGCTAACCCTTTGTAGTACTATGTGTAACGTTTTATAATTTCCATTTAAGACTCTATGACTCGAGGTTTACAAACTCAGACAAATCAAATTTCACGAAACCATGCTCTTTTTAATAATCTCCTGACTCTATGACTAGAGAGTATATATACAAAGTAAGATAACACTTTATGGAGCTAGGCAGGCCATACGTGTACTTAATTAATATCAACACACTATAACTCCTTCTTTTTTCTTAAATGATAAAATCAATTGCTTTCTAGTAATTTCTAAATAACCAGGCAATTAAACATTTAAAATATTACTTATATTTCAAAATTTAAAAGTTATTCAGTTACTTTAAAAATGTTCAGTTACATGTAGTACACTGTTAGAAATTTGGGTTGGGCCGACCCAATGATAATGGGTCAATGGCATCCGACCCAAAAAATAGTAGTCAGAAATTTTGGATCAACCATTTTGACACAAAAATATCATGTCGGCACTCTTTTGGGTCGCTACCCGACCCAATCTTTTGACTCGATTGGACCCATATTAACGGGGTGGCACGTATGGGTCGAAATCAACGTGGGTTTTTGGGTCGCCCTTTGTTGAATTCCAGTAAAAAGCTGACGTTCCAAGAAAAGCAAAACATTCACAATACTCCAGGGTCGAATCTCGAATTACAAGACTGTAAAAGAAAAGACGGTAACAGTGGTAAAAGATAAATATAACAAGCTTCTCAATGGGAAAATCTCTTAGGACAGGGCAGCTTCCACTTGGTGGGTTTAAAGGTGGTCTGACTATGCCATGTAGGCTTGGTCACTTGGAAAACTGATGCTGGTGGTCACAGTCAGCTGCAGGGATGGTGGTGGTTGCGACGATGGCTATCTGAGTTCATCCTCGTGTTCAGGAGCAGGCTTCTTTCCCTGGGTGCGGTAGGTATATGCCTTAAATATTTTTGAATTGATAAAATCGGTGGCACTTCCGGATGGTCAGACACTGATGGCAACGACTCCTTGATGGTTAATGTTGTCAACTCCAGCATTTATTTTACCATCTACTTCTTGTTCTAAATGGATAAAAGAAGTAAAGTATCACTTATATATTAGATACTTGCTAAGAATATAGTTATTTCTATTTGCTAGGCCTATTCATGATCATCTTGAAATGAAGATGGCTGCCAGTAGATAGACCCTTAAAAGAGAGCTTCAACAATAAGCAAAAAGCGATTAAATGAAATGAAATAAAATGGAGTTTAACGTCCTACTGTTCTGCTCCTAACCTGGGCTAATGAAGACGGGCATACGCCCGGACAGCGGCACTACGGCCTACTCTTATATGGAATTCCAACTGCCAAGGGATCTTTTACGTGCACGCCAATGTGTAAACGGGACCTCGGTTTTTCGTCCCATCCGAACGACTAGACAGCTTTCCTGCATCACTGACAAGGGAGAACCACGCCGGAAACAAAAAGCGATTAAATAACACACATTAACTGATTTATAAGATAACATTTATACATCCAGAAGTGTTTGGTGTCAGTAACAGCCAAATTGTACTAATTCACAGTGTATTTGAAAGGACTCTGTGGGAATCCAACAACCCTGAAAAATTGCTTTGTGAGCAGCCATCTTTGTTGTTTATGTTCCTGTCTACGGAAATTTTGCCAGCTAGAGAAAACAAACATCAACTTAATAGTGGTATTTTACTTTATTATTATTGAATCACTACGACTAATTAACATTCAAATATAAAACATCAAAACTCCATGTATACTCTTGCCAGAGTTAAGGAAGACAGAAAAAGAAAGGGCTCAACCTCCCTATTCCAGATCCAAACTGACCTACTTCTGGCTACCGGTGCTAAAAGCTATAATTTAAAAAAAAGTAAACTCCAGCAGAGCACTATTACAACATTCATGACGGACAATACTGATCGTAACACCAGTTAGGCGTTTACAAGCACACTCAATGCAGTGACCATGGAATTATCCAGAGCTTTCGGAAAACCAGAAGTCCAGAATTCTATCAGACCAATGATCACTTTTATCCTGAGAGAACAGATAGATAAATTCATTGCCCCATTAAGGAAAGAAATCCATGACTCAAAATATGAGTTATCATCTGTCACACTCCAACTAAACGGTATGTTAAACGAACGCTGTGATGATCTGGAACAATATGGTAGGCCAAACTGCATTCGTATTAGTGGTATCACAGACACTCCAAACGAAATACTAGAAAATAAAGTTATCAATGTACTTAAACAAGTCATCCCAGCCATAGCACCGACTGACATACAAAGCAGCCACAGGGTTGGTAAATCAATTATGGGAAACCCCAAAAAGATTACCGTTCGACTGTCTAGCTACAAAACTAAAGTTTCCATAATGCGTGGTAAGAAAGTCATAAACATTTATATAAACGAAGATTTGACACGGTGCAGAGCGCACATCTTCCACCACACACGGAAATCGTTCAAATCCAAGTTAATAAATGGAGGTTGGACCCGTGATGGCACAATATTCAATTGGGAGCGAAAACCAGATGGAACTGATGGTTCAATAACACGTATCCACAGTTTAGTTCAAATTCCTGGATATAGACCATCACCAGAGGAACTTCTCAACTTCAACCTAAGTCAAAATATCCACAGTGAACCAGAAGCAACAGCTGTTTAAATAACTGTGTCACACATCTGCCTGCTTCCCCTGTAAAATACAATATTATTAATACCATCTTATTAGCATATATCCTTTATATATCAAATGTTATCCGGTGTAAATTGGCCAGACCAAATACATTATTAAAAATGGCTCTCTGATTAGTTAAATTCACAGGCTAAAATATTTTGGCTCATTTCTAACACCATTAAAGTACTGAGTATTTGTTTCAATTGTAACTAGGTCAAATCGAACTCAGCAAATTGCCTGGAACCTAATCAGATGCCTATCTCAACAGACTCTCCTAGTATGGTAAAACCTTCAAGTATTATTAATTCAGTCGTATTGGTCTTAAAATTTAAGCACATTAACTGTGATTAAAGTAAACTTCGTATCTACCTCAATAGCAGTAGATCATCGAACCAATAGCTAGAAGCTAATGGAGGCTTTGAAATGAAATTGGCAATTACGCATTCCCAGTGGCGCCAGCCGTCGGTGATTGGAGGGGCAAAGCCGGGGCTTCAACTAGGAGTGGGGGGGGGCTCCTCCAGAAAATTTTGGAAAAAAGGTTGCCCGAAATGCACCCTAGCAGTATTTTAGGCACTGATCGTTGAGGTAAAGTGTCAAACGAACGGACTTGCGAATCTCGACGAAGCCCACTCACGAGCGCCAAAATAGGGCGTTCTTACGGAGGGTATGGGGGACCTCCCCCAGAAAATTTTGAAAAATAGATCTGACCAGATACCGTCCGTCGCCTAATCACTAGTTTATCCGACCAGAGAACAAAATGCCAAAGTAGCGAGTCCATTAGGGACGTCCCCAAGAAATTTTGGAAAATAGATTGTCGGAAATGCTCTACAACATGCAAGTTTATGACTGAGTGGGGATGTGGGATTTATTCATCGTAGAAGGTATTGATTGTCGAAACGTATCATAAATACTTTTTTTTATTTTCTAAAATTATTGGGGGGGGGGCAAACAGAGGGCAGACCAGATGATTTAGGAGGGGGGACAAATGCCCCCCTGCCCCCCCCCCCCTTGGCCCCGCCACTGCGCATACCCAAAACGACGAGCAATATAAACTACCAAAATTGGCTCCCTTGAATAATCTCTCACAATATTGACCTAATCATGTTTTGAACCAAGCAGACCCTTCTACTATAATAAAACCTGTAAGGACTTGTATGATGACCCTCTACCCTGTTCTTGCTCTACGTCGTTCTTCCTTTACCCACCAGCTGGACATGTGGTCACTGGTGATTTGAACATAGTCCAGAATAATAAGCTACGTAAAATTTTGTCCAAAGGACCCAAATACCGGGAACCGCAACCATTTTCATGGGATCAAAATTTCCAACTTATTATGGATGCCACTAGAGGACAACGCTAGATCATGGGCCAAGAGGGAAGATGTTATCTCGGATACTCTCTCTGATTGGACTAAGTCTATCAGTCGTTTACTTAAACGAAGAATATACATGCAACGTTTGTCAGTTGACACTAGGCCTAAGTCTATTTTCAATGATGTTAACATTGTTGAAAATCTCAATGCCTTGCATGACAAGTATGTCATTGTTCCGGCTGACAAGGCGTCCAATAACATAGTGTTTATATGTAAACGACATTATTTTGACTGTCTGTTCAAAGAACTTAATTTCGGGAAACCAATCGACAGTGCTACATATAAACGATCAACTCTTAGTAAGGATGAAATTATATCCAATCACAAATCTGTACTCACTTCATTTGGTACTCCGTGTGGAGATACCTATACAGATTTGCCCTTGTTATATTGGATACCTAAACTACATAAAAATCCCTACAAGCAACGTTTTATAACAGGTTCATCCCGTTGTTCCACAAAACCACTTTCAAAAGTATTGACATCTATACTAACGGCTGTTAAAGAGGGTATTCAAAAATACTGTGACAAAATATACTCTCGTAGTGGTATAAATCAAATGTGGATATTGAAAAATTCCAAAGAATTACTTGATGGTTTGCAATCTAGATCCCTTGCTTCAGTCTCATCTATTCAAACGTTTGACTTTTCTACTTTGTACACTAAAATTCCCCATAGTAAATTAAAAGCCCGGTTGAAAGACATTATTCACAGTGTCTTTTCGTCTAAATCAGGTACTGCGAGATATCAATATTTAGTTGTAAATTACAATTCCACATATTTCGTTAAGAATCACAGTGATTCCAAAAACAAATTCACGGCCATCAAGATAATTCAGATGTTGGATTTTTTAATTGACAACATCTTTGTTGAATTTGGAGGGGAAATATATCAGCAAGTGGTTGGCATTCCCATGGGCACCAACTGTGCACCTTTGCTTGCTGATCTGTTTCTCTATTCGTACGATGCCGATTACATACAGACGCTCGTAAAAACTAATAAACGATCAGTCAGACTTTTTAATTTCACTTATTGATATATCGATGACGTTTTATCACTTAATAATCCTAAATTTAGTGATTATGTAGAATTCATATATCCTGATGAGCTCGAAATTAAAAACACCACTGACAGTGACAATTACGCTTCCTACTTGGATCTGCGTCTCGATTTTGACAATTGCCATAAACTGAGTGTTAAATTGTACGATAAACGTGATGACTTTGACTTTCCGATTGTTAACTTTCCATTTATTAGTAGTAACATTCCAATATCACCAGCTTATGGAGTGTTTGTGTCTCAGCTAATTCCTTACGCGAGAGCTTGTTCCTTTTATTCTGATTTTTTAAGTAGATCGAGGCATTTGTCATCTAAGCTTCAACTACAAGGATACTTGCGCACTAAACTTATTAAAACCTTTAAAAAGTTTTATGGTCGTCATATTGATTTGATTGGTAAATATAACGTGTCTCTCTCGGCTATTATTCTAGATATATTTAATTGACACGTATACTATTACTATCTCCCTGATAATATCTACTACATCGTTAACACAGTTCATCGCGTGCATTTTGCATACCGATAGTTCATTGGCCAATCACGCTATTTTACCGACATTTCGCCTAATAGTTTGGATGCAGCTATGGCGGGTGTGGCGCCAGGAAGGGTAAGCTTACTCTTCCGGACACCTGTTACCACAGTTTGTCGTGTAATTTGTACACGAGGAGCAGTCCATTTGCTGATTACACTATTTTGCTTGAATACACTATTTTGCCTATAACGTTTTTTAGGACTTCGAATTCTGTCTTATGGTTTGGATTGTTCGTACTTGGTTTTATTTTATCATACTAGTACTATTATGACATATGATTTATCATACTAGTATTATTATGACCTAATCATGTTTTGAATCATGCTACTATCATGGTAAAACCTTTAGGTACTATTTATTAATTAAGCCATAATGATCTTTAATTTAAGCACATTAACTGTTATTACTGTAAACTTATATCCACCCCACTAGCACTATCCAACCAATAGTACAACAGCTTAATATGCAAGCACTGTCTTCTTTAGCCCGATCAGAGAAGAAAACCATTAAAATTTCATTCAAATTACTCAATTTTGAGCCAAATCGTGGCTGTATATAGTTTTGACAAGCTGTGTGTCTAGTAGACTGGATAACCTGCTCTAATACGCCAGACTCGCTCCTACGTCACTCCTTTTCTGACTTGCATATATACTATTCAAAAAAAGTAGGGGATATTTGATTTTGGGGGCATAATACTCAAATATGCAAATGACTACGAAAAAAGTCACTATAGAACCTAACAGAAGAAACATTTCCAGTTACATGTGACGCCCAAACGCACCAATAGCTACCGCATGGAATGCAGGTGATGCTTGGGATCATCATGGGGGTCCAACCCAAGATTTGCACGACTCTGACTTTGAATGTTACAGTCATTGTGGCATTGAATTCCAGGGTGGAAACATCAGTTTAATTGTTTTGATATGCGTCGGCTTACCCAAAATGAAAGGTTACGTGTCCTTGGCATGCTACAGATCGGCACAACACAGGCGGTTGTGGCGCGGACGATGAATGTTTCTCAGTCTGTCATAAGCAGGCTATGGTCCAGATACCGTGATACACAATCTGTACAGGACAGACCACGCTCAGGTCGACCAAGGGCGACAACTCAAGCCCAGGATCGATTTATCCGTACCTTGGCCTTGAGAAATCGTGTCATCACAGCAAATCAGATCAGCGCTCGTCTTCAAACAGACACTGGTGTGAGAGTGAGTGGCCAGACGATTCGGAATCGACTGCATAGGGGTCACCTTCGCGCCCGACGTCCTCGCGTGATCCCTTGTTTGAGAGATCATCACATTCAGGCAATACGTCGTTGGTGTAGGGATCGTCAACACTGGGATAATCGACGCTGGAGCAATGTGATGTTTTCAGATGAGTCAAGGTTCACTGTTGATTTTTTGGACAGACGTAGGAGGGTGTGGCGTCGTCGAAACGAGCGCTTCCAAGACGTTAACGTCATCAGACATGATCGATTTGGGGGTGGTTCTGTTATGGTGTGGGGAGGCATCACTGTTGCTGGAAGAACGGCTTTACATGTTGTTGCAGGGCGTGTTAAAGGCCAGTACTACCGGGACAACATCTTGGCAGTCCATGCTGTGCCGTTCGCACGACGTCATGGCCGCCGTTTCATCTTCCAGGATGACAACGCAAGATGTCACAGGGCCAGGATCGTTACAGGTTACCTCCAACAACAGAACATCACCACATTACCTTGGCCAGCACTGAGTCCCGACCTCTCCCCCATCGAGCATGTCTGGGACATGCTTGGACAGAGGTTACGTCAACGTCAACAACGTCCTGCCAATGTCCAAGAACTTGCTGCTGCGTTGCAACAGGAATGGGACAATCTGGACCAAAATGACCTTAGACGTCTCATTAGGAGTATGCCACGTCGGATCAATGCTTGTTTGGCAAACAGAGGAGGATTTACCCGTTACTGACTTGGTTGTGATGCTGTGGTAACTTTGCTGTTTGACCCCGGGTATCATTTTACCCTTATAATGGTCAGTCTGTGCCTTACTTAGTCTAACGATCATTTGGAATAAATCGATG